AAATAATGGAAATTGAATTAATCCGTTCCAGACTTCCCAAAAAATTAACTTTCAAAGTAAATTTTATTCCTAATTCACCCAAATCTTCAGTACTAAAGTACATACAAGTTATTACTTACTTTTATTGATGACTCTTGTTGGCGTATGGAAGATGGTGAGAAGGGGGGATGGAGGAGCAGTGTTAATGTTATGAAGAGGAATCCCCTTCCATTATAACATCAGGCAGTGATGACTTCTCTGGGATACACACTCTGGCACGTTTTCCCTGCATACCACTAGGACCTGCTTGTGGCTCACTGCTTGTTTTTCTCACTAAAAACCTGTCTAGTGACACTTGTTTTTCCCTATGTTGTAACACTTGTCTGAAGTGAGACATAACATTGTCACTAAAAAAATTAACACAACGGCCTGCTACAGCTTGCTCTGGGTGAATTAATAACAACTTTTCAACATCCTCAAGGTGTTTGTTTTCTTTGTTTCGTGATTGTTGATACGCCTTTTGCCACTTTAGCACTCATAATGTCCTTTTTCTTAGCAAGTACAGTGCATATTGTTGACATAGATTTATTGTACTGCCTAGCTAGTTCAACAACATGTGTACAATTTTTCATGTTTATGAATGATCTCTTGTTTTTCCCTCTATGGTCATTCTCACATGTGTTTTCTTGGCTTGAACCTTACCATTGGCATTCTTGGAATGGATGGGGTTCTGGGAGTTCTTCTACTCCCCAAGCCAGGCCCGAGGCCAGACTTGACTTGTGAGAGTTTGGTCCACCAGGCTGTTGCTTGGAGCGGCCCCTCAGGCCCACATACCCACCACAGCCCAGTTGGTCCAGCACTCCTTGAAGAAAACAATCTAGTTTTCTCTTGAAGATGTCCACGGTTGTTCCAGCAATATTTCTGATGCTCGCTTGTAGGACGTTGAACAACAGCGGACCTATGATGTTTATACAGTACAGTGTTCTCTGATTGTGCCTATGGCATCTCTGCTCTTCACTAGTTCTATTATGCATTTTCTTCCATATTGTTCACTCCAGTACGTTGTTATTTTACTGTGCTGATTTGGGACCTGTCCCTCCAGTATTTTCCATGTGTATGTTATTTGGTATCTCTCTTGTCTCCTTTCTAGTGAGTACGATTGGAGAACTTTGAGACGATGCCAATACTGTAATTTAGGTGCTTTATCTTGTCTATGCATGCCGTATATGTTCTCTGTATGTAAAAAAAAAAAAAAAGTGTGTATTCTTGTATAGGGAAGCTGCCAGATGATTGGACAAAAAAAAAAAAATAAGATAAGACTACAGCATTCCTAATTTTGTCCAAATCAAGGGTGATAGGATGAGTATTGAAAATACAGAGCAATTAGCTCTCAGCTAATTGCCCTGTAGAATATGGAAGTTGCATTCAAAGGAACAAAGTAATTAGAAGCAAGCAGCAAGGAAAGATAAGAGGATATTGATATGTAACCCATATAATGTATTTGATCTCAAGTTAATAATGGTTAACTATACAGAAAATTAAAGTGTTTTATGAATGTCTGAAATGAAATGGTTAAGGTTATAACCATTTCAGGTTATTAAGGTTTTTCACTTGTGTAGAAGTGAATGAAATGTGTTTTTAAGTACTATATATGTACATGAAATTTGAATAAGGTTTATATTAGATTAGATTTGAGGGCTCTGTTCCCAGCTTATTAGTTGTAAAGTATATGGATCAAGATGAGAGGATGATTGGACTCTGCTACCTTACCTTGTGATGATTTCAGGGCTCAATGTTCCTACGGCCCGGTCCCCGACCAGGCCTCCGGCTCGTAATATATGCCTTTTTATTCAGCTGGAGCTGAATAAAATTATGGTCTCTGCTCATCAGTCTTCACAGATAACTTAATATGGATAGCAGCAAAAAAGTGTCATTACATAACTAGCTTTAGAAGAAAGCTAAACCCTTAAAAATATTAGAGAGTAAGGTAATGTTTATGGCCTCAAAATCTACAGTAGCTGTGAAACCACACTTTAACTGTCCAGAAAGTTGGCACTACATACATGCAACAATCAGGAGAAAATATGATAAAATTCTAGAAAATGACCATAAAATATGATGCAAGTCTAAATGGGTATTGTCCCAGGTCTTAGCTCCCCAGTGCATTATCCTGGCAAGGTTGCCAGTTTATGTCACAGGACTTAGCACCCCTTTCCTGGATGCCACTTGTTCACCACAGGGAGGGTAGAAATAGCCTAAGCTACTCTATCCCCTTGAGATGTATTTCTTGCTTATCTCAATAAACATACTTGAACTTGAACACCACTGGGAAGCACCTCAGTCACCAATGGGGTAGAGTTTCTTCACCGAACCCGGCCTTACACTCCCACAGGAAGTGAGGAAACTCTATCACTCCCTAGCTTCCTTGCTGGGGTGTCCGTGGACACGGAAGCTCAGGGCTATCCAGATGGAGCTGCCCGACATAAAGGTATTATGAAGGTCACCAACTTGGCTCGCTCTGCTCCACGGCCAAGTAATCTTCAACTCGGTGGTGGGTTTAAATCCCTCAGTCTAGTATCTATAATGGTGTGGTGCACAGTAACTCTCTCAACACAACACAATAAAGAGAATGGAGGGGAGTAAGTAAACACAAATAAAATCGATGGGTTTACTCATTAATAGTCTACACTGGAAACAGGTTAAATCTCCAACAAATTCATTGAATGGCAACACTTCTGGCAGCTCTTCACTTTTGCCACAAAATATGATCACTGATTTTTCTTATTCAATATATTACTGAAATAATTCCCACTGTCACTTCACACACAATTCAAGGTTATCACATCCTCTGTGTACAACCTTACCTAACACAAGGGGAAAATTGGAGGGGAAAATTATCTACTTTATCATCCAAATCCTGCAGGGCATAAATTCCATGTCGTGATGATAGGCTCTCTGTACATCCACGATCAGGCCATCTGCTTGCTCGTTCCACGCAGGGCATTGCTCCTACACTATATATGTTCCTCCCTGGATCTCAAGTTGAGACTGTTGTAGGCTGGCTCCCTCCCCAAACCCACACACACTCAACACTGGTCCGCTGCCTCGCACGAAGCCTCGTCGCTGTATAAATGATCGATGAGCTTCTGCAGACCAGGACTGCTACCGATTCAGCCCCAGACAGCTTCCTATGTGCATGGCCTGCAGGATGTCCCAGATTCCTCCTAGCACCGCATCTGCAATTCTCAGGTCACTGCCGGCTTCTGGCCCCTAGTGTCATCCTCACACCAGCAAAGCTCTGCCCAATATACTCCTGCAGGAGATGACAGGTCTTCCTCATCATAGGTGCACGTAAGCTGGCCGAATTGTACTCTCTGGAGGCCTATACAGTATGTCTCCCTGACAGGTGAGGTCACGAACACACACACCCGCTTGGCTCAGAGTACTGGTAGCAAGTCAGCTCTTTTCGTGCCTTCAAGCATAGATGCCTGACATCAGGCAGTGTCACACCCGGGACGCAATGCCACTGGTTAACTTCGCCAATCACATCCCGGCTGGCACTGACCCCATAATGCATCAGAACCCTGCCCCCTGGGCGGCAAAGCTCTTCTCTCCCCAGGTCCACTCCACCATATTTATCATAGAGATGCCTGTAGCCTCATCTCAAATTAACAAAAAGCAAATATGCTCCTAAATGCATAAAATCAACTCAACATTTTCTAGTTATATACAAACGAAGTCATGACCCTTGTATGCGGGAATAGGGAATACTGTACAGGCCTGAACTCCATAACAGTATTCACCGAAAGAAATGTCACCAGACACTATAATAAAAAAATTCTTGCCTATTCTCCATTTGTCTACATAAGTTTCATCTTCCCAAGTGTTTGTTGTCCACTTCATTACTGTAACTTTTACTACACTGATGCACATTTTCGCTATAATCCTACCATTATGCAGTCCTTGTCCCAAAAACTATCTTTAGAGAATTCCTTGAACTGAGCTCCTTGTAACTGAAAGATGAGTATAGGTGGTGTCAAATTCAAGAAAATACTGTAACATGACTTTAAACATCAGAAGTTAGTACAGTATAGGCAAAATTGTATACAATGAAAATTTGTGCAAGTGTAATAACTTGGTGATGAGCAACAAACACCCAGGAAGGAAAAAATATGCAGAAATAAGAGCCCAAAGTAAATGGAGAATGGAATAGGCAAGCCAAGGTAATTATCAGAAGAAAACACTACGCTGTTATGACTATACAGTATAGCACTTTGAAGGGATAAGGATTTGGAACAAGATGGAGAAAGGGACTTGGGTCGGTTGGGAATTGAGTGCTGACCTGGAGGAAGTGAGACTAACTCTACCATCCAGCCAACACCACTTGCATATTCAAATACTAGTTCAGCTGGAAGTTAGAGGCCCCCCCCCCCCCCCTTTCCCCTTTTTTTTTTTCCATGGAGTTCCAATTCTGTATTCAGTTTTATTTGTTTTTCAATAACTTTTTTTCTTTGTCAGTTTAGTTCTTTTTCCTTACTTGTCTATTATTGGCGAGTAATCCCCATTTTTTCACATTTATCGTGCAAAAGTTATTCAAGTTATAAAAAAAGTGTGAACTTGTACAAGTACTGATGTTAACCCTTCATGTGCAACTGTTGTAGGCAGCTGCCAACTCAACATTCATTTAATTTCTTAAATTCCATTATTTCTTTGGATATACATAATTTCATTACTGTAACCTTTGTATTAGGAAATAACAACCAAAGGTGTCAAATATTGACAAGTATAGGGATTTATGATTATAGAAGTTTATGCAAATTGAGCTCTAGTGAAAAATATCAAAGTGCAGTAAGCAGTTTTGACCTGAAAACCCCTCTCATTCATCAATTGACAGGCCATCATTCATGGTTAGTGTTCTATTAGGTACAGTACATATTTCAGTTTGCATTTTTTTTTACTGCACACACAAATGTGAACACTGTATGAACTGTAAATATAAATGTACAAAATAAAAGAATTTCTCAACAATGTTTTTATTGTTCAAAAAGTTTTCACAGACAATGAAAGACGAGTATAAAAAAATATTTACATAGTAATCTAAGCGGGCATGAAAAATTGTCTCCAGTTTAAATGGTCAATTCTTATTCCACACGATGTACAAGTCACAACTCTTACAAGCAGCTCACAATGCTTGGGTGTAAAATTTTTTTTACATCAAAATAAATACAAAAACAGTAGTTGTCCTATAACTTAAAAATGACCTGAGGACTTAGGATATAAATAATTATCCTAGAGTGCAGGTTTGTATTCATAATTATTCATATGCTACAAGAGAACTTGTAAAGACTGTACAGTACATTAAACTGAAAAGAACCAAAATGTTTGCCTGATTCTATGGTGAACTTAGTCTTCACAACTTTCATGAATTTTATGAATGGTATCTGGTACACATTATTGCTTTGAAGACAATTCAAGAAAAAACTGTACATATAAATTATTTAAAGTTTTGCCACTATAATGTCATCATAATGGCAAGTTTATGTGGAATATGAAATAAATGATCCTTTTTATAATGGTCCCTCCATACTCTGTGCCATTCTCAAATCACAGCACTTCATCTCATCATTACAATATTTTGGTTCATTGGCATATCACTAAAATTTACACAAGGTCTTGGATTTGACAAGTTTATGAGCTGCAGTATGGACCGAAAAAAAAGGAGAGATCAATACATAATCTTATTAACACTTGGAAGCATGATGGACATCCTGGGCCCAGGCTCATCCAGCACTTGAGATCTGTAGTTTAATAATCTAAATATACTTCCTTTGTACCAGTGAATTATCAAGATAAGATTTCCATGATTAAATAAGCCTAAAATGTACACAACTCAAATGCTGTTCAAAAACTCAGGGCATGGATGTGCCAGGTCCACAAAATAAGATCATCTGACTAGATTAATAAGGATGAAATTCCTGTGACAGGGCAAGGAATTATGCACTCAAGACTGGTATGACATAGGCATTGTTTTCCTTTATAAAGTAAAGGTAAAAAATACGTTTGGTGAATCACCAGACCAAGCTAAGAGGACTTTGTTCCTGTCACATTAACAAGGCAGTTGTGTATATATTTATAAATGTATGTATAAATAACCATTTCATCCTTTCCATACGATGAACACCTTTAGTGACAGTATGGTTTCAATTTCAAATAGCTGGCTAGTATTATACACAAGAACAAACTTCAATACCCGTCACTAGTTCATACTGTTGTGGTGGCCCTTGGAACATTTTTAAGTATAGATGCCATGTACTTAATGATCACAAAAAATTTCTGATTTTTCTTTGTGCATTTACACTAGACCTGGAGGTGAAGGCGTCATGTTAATATTGTCATGAATACACACTTAAAACCATACCTGCAATCTAAATGTCAAGTTTGAGTACAGTAATTAGAAAGGTCATATCGAGCCTTATCAACCCTAACATATTTTTAACTTGCTTACCATTCTGAGCACTGTATATGCGCCAATGCGGGGCTTGATAAATAAGTCAATTGTTTCACCTTTTAAAATAAATGTTCCTAGTTGAATATTTGAAATTTTGTTAGTTAAAAATCCCAACCTTTATAAAGTTAAAGTATCTTCATTAAAAAACATATGTAAAGACAGGAATCATGACCCTTAAAATTTTACACATTACTTTGGCTGATAATTATCCCGGCATGTTGATTTTTGTGAAAAATTATAGCAGGGACAACTATTTATAATTCTCATCTGCTAAAAATGCCACATGCTAACCCCACATGCTAACCACATGACCATTTCCTTCAATGCTTCTTAAAATCAAATGGATCTGGGCAAAGTAGCAGAGAGGAAGATGGTGTGGTAACCAAAATTGGGGTGAAAAAGCAGCACAGAGATGAGCAGTTTTGAGATGGTTTAAAGTGAACTATATTTGAGCAGTGCATGTCAAGTATAACCCATACAGCTTTTATTTAACATTTTGGTAAGCAATTTCATGGATATCAAATCCTAATAACAGTCCCCTAAATTTGAGAACACAGATTTTACAAAGCAGTTTCTATGTTTCAAATTATAAAAGTTCAGAATAGTTCATGTTAAAGATGCGATTTTTACACATCGGGTCAATTGTACAATGCTCAAACTCAATTCATCAATGATGCCATCTAGTACTTTTCCTTAATATTCTATGTACAACACCAACAACACATTTTGGAACACACTAAGTGTACAGTATGTTATCCATACAAGCTGATATTCTTGATTGCCACTATCATGCCTACTTGTTAGGAATAAACTTTACACCCACCACACAGGATGGTCCTCTATTCGTTGGTCAATTTTCCAAGTGTCCAAGGACGTTATTATTAAACAGGACACTTTAAATATGCCCCAAAATAATGATTTACTATGTGTGGAATGTATTAGCAGCATTACAGTAGTGTAATGAGGGTTGAGATAAATGGTTGCACCATTCATTCAATATGAACATGGGCCAAGTGTTTATGAATGTAAGCATGAACAAGCTCATCAGTCTAGAGGTAGTGGGGGGACCTCCCAGTATCCTGCAATCCTTTGTTTCTCTTGCAAAAGACATGCATACCATTATCATTTATACTTTTACGCATGGGAGGAGCAGGTTGAGCTTTCAGTCATACATTAAGTGACATTGCTATCTATTTATGTCACCTTTATTTCATACTGAAGCCAGGCAACATGAAGATTTTCCCCAAATATTTCAGCAGGTGACCATCTTCACACATTCTAGTGTAAAGGCTGCAATAACAATGCTTGAAACATTTCCTGTTGTATTTCTGCATGTTGATTTGGCTAGCAAGTGAAAGCAGTCACCAGTTACTTGCACTAAAAAAACTTGTGTGAAAAGAATGACTTGTTACTTCATCAAATATACACAAGGAGGAAAGTATAAATTAACAGAGGTATATGTATGTGATGTTACACAGTAACAAAACCCTTTTACAGAAAATTCTTCAGTATGTACTTAAGAGGTTAACACTGCATATTATGAATGCACTCAATAGGTTAATGGCACAGTATACTTCCTACCAAAATATATCAGTGCATTCACTGCAAATGTAAAGTACATTAGAGCAATTTTGGACAATTTCTGCATTAGGAATTTTTGATATTTTATACAAACTCTAATAATTCCTCCCGTTAGTGTAATTTTTATCAATAAAGTAACTACAATATCAAATCACACATTAATACATTACAACACTTCGGAATATGAAACATTTTTGCCCTACCATTCTTTGATTATCTTGGTAAGAACAATTTTTATATGAATGGGAAGCAACAGCACAATTTGTGCAATTATTCCTCCTTAAAAACATTAGTGCTGACATTGAAAGTAGAGTAAACAGTTGTACGCCTAAAGGGTATAGTTCCAATGCCCTCAAAAAATGTATTTCTAACAACCTTAGAGCATGGAAATAACTTGACTGGACACCTTCATGGTACCAAAAGGAATATGAACTGGACACCTTCAAGTAAAAGACTGCATAAAAACAGCTGAATGCATCTACATTGAGCCAAGGTCAGCAATGCAAGAGATGATCGGAGCCAATGATTTATTGGCAATTAAAACCCAGTGCCAGAGAGCCAAGTTTGGCAAAGCACAATCCATGTGCCATGCAAAACTGAACTCTCTTTACTAACTAGCAATCTCACAGAGCTGTCTCTTTGCGAGGAGTAGGTGTGTTGACGTGACCTGGTGCTGTACGGGCTGAAGCACCACATGACCCATTTGGGGTAGGAAGGCTAGATGTTGGACGGAGGCCATGTGATGTCCGTTGACGGGAAGAACGAGACGCAGTTACATCCCGAGAAGGCTTGGCCTCTTGAATTTTTCGCAGCAAAATCTATAAAGATAACAAAACTACTTTAATTAACAATCTAAAAGCTTAACACAAATTAAAACAAATTACAGTACAATGTAACAAATTAACCTGATATGACTGAACAAAAATTTACTTGCAGTAGAGATTGAGTACATATATAGCATTAATTATAAAAATATACTTGCAGTAGAGATTGAGTACATATATAGCATTAATTAAAAAATTGTGATAAATTCAACACCATGTTTCACAGTGGTTTAGTTTGCCGTGATAATATCTTAAATACAGTACATCAAACTGTCCACATTGCAGTAACCTTTGTTCTTTATATGCTTAAGGCATTCTACTTAAATGATCTTTATTGCTTTGGAAGATTTATACAAGTTCAATTAGACTAATGTAGTATTTGGCATTAGATGATTCAGTGTTTTATTTTACTTTATGATATGACTATCCAAATGTATTATTATTATGCCAATATTATTATTATATTATTATTATTATTGTTGTTGTTGTTAGCCTACCGATTTTTTTTTACAGTACAGTTGTTAATACTTTGGTTATTACAGTATGGTACTGTTATATTACTATGTATTTTTGTTGCCAATACCCTATACGCTGAATTGCTATGCAACCAATGACATTTACATGGTAGTTGATATTGTGAATTATGACATTCTCCATCATTGACAAATAAATAATTATATAACAATGTAAGTCATCAAGTTATACTTTAGTATTCTTTTTATACTGTATTATGACACTACAGCAGTATTGTAATTACAGTATTAGTCACTTTTTTATTTATTTAAATACAGAAGTTCAGTATTACATACTAAATGTATTTTCTCAATGTACCATACTGTAGATTGCAATATTGTGTGTAAAATGTAGCCTAAAGAATGTACTGTTGTAGGCAAGGCTGACTAAGTATACAGTACTAACATTAAAAATATTTCTACAGCAAATCATTAATTCATTCAAATGACAATGTATTGATTGACATTTTACATGTACCTGTACTGTGTAAAAAAAGGAGTGTCATTGTGTTTATAATTAGATGCCATCTACCAAGCTTTACAGGTATGGGAGAAGAGAATGTGCCTCACATGAAGGGTATCTGTGCAAGGCGCACACATTTACAGTAGAAGTGGTATTGTACAGTGAAGCTTCATATCACAGAGTCACCACCTTCACCCTCCTCAATGCCAAAGTTGCTGTGCATTTCCTCCGTGCTGTGGAAATGAGCAGAGCTGGCATGATACGAAAAAGTTTAGCTTTGTGCATCGTTTGTTCCAAGGTTTGCCGCCAGGCGGGTCATGACTGTTTCCATATTCTGTTCAGTATTTTTATTTTTTCCTTTCCCGTGTTGAAAATTCATGAAATGCAGCACAAGTTAATTTCAAAATTAACCTTCAAAATAATTGTGCATTAACCGTTCAATGATTCTCAGTGTTATATATATACTGTATACAGTAACTATTTGTGACATTAAGATTTCATTGTGCAATTTATTAGTATTTTTATTTTACCTTTAAATTACTCATTGAGTTGTGCTTTGAATTCCCCCTGCACTATAATAATAATAATAATAATAATAATAATAATAATAATAGTAATAATAATAATTTACCGCTCCTTTTCAAGTAAATAGGATTTTCTCTTGCAATACACATCAAAACCCTTCCTTGTTGCCATAATAAACAACATACCTGTACTGCATTACCTAGGACTGTATAATACAAAATTATACAATACATAAATACTGTAGTATTAAAAATTATTTATCTTACATGTATTCTTGTGCTTTAAAGTACAGTAGCTTATGCCACCATGTCCTAGTTAGTTAAATCCACCACACTTGCACACTTTCCTATTGCAACTGCCTACCCTCGTCATGGTAAAACAGGGCTCTATAGATATTTAAACAGCTGGACCCATTCTATGTTCCACCATGCTGCTGACTACTAAGTTCATGTCATTTCTCATTTGCAAACAAGATTATTTACCATTCTACTAAATTGCATTATTTGATTAATTCCTAGTTTATTTTTCCGTGCAGCTGACCACAGCACACACACACACACATATATACATACATATATATATATATATATATACATACACACTCACATACATATACATACACACACTACATACATACATGGATGGAGAAAAATTAAAGAAATTGTTCACGACTTCTGTTAAACCAAAGCTGGAATATGCAGCAGTTGTATGGTGCCCATATCTTAAGATGCACATCAACAAACTGGAAAAGGTGCAAAGACATGCCACTAAGTGGCTCCCAGAACTGAAGGACAAAGAGCTACGAGGAGATGTTAGAGGCATTAAATATGCAAAAAACAAGAAGATAGAAGAAAAAGAGGCGCTATGATCACTACATACAAAATAGTAACAGGAATCGATAAAAATTGATAGGGAAGAATTCCCAAGACCCGGAACTTCAATAACAAGAGGTCATAGATTTAAACTAATGAAACAAAGCTGCCGGAGAAAAATAAGAAAATTCACTTTTGTAAAGAGTGGTAGACGGTTGGAACAAGTGAACAAGTTAGGTAAGGTGGTGGTCAAAACCGTAATTTCACAGCATTATATGACAGTGCTGGGAAGACGGAACACCACGAGCGTAGCTCTCATCCTGTAACTACACTTATGTAATTACACTTGGGTAATTACACACACACACACACACTGTATATGGTACAGTACTGTATTCTAGTTTTGACATTTTCCAATTGTTGTCAATTTATGTTTTTTTCAAATATAAAAACTATAGTAACATTACAGTATTGTGGTACAAAAATAATGCAATGTGACAGTTAACAAAAAATGTCAGTTCATTAAATGTTGAGAAAATAGTACAGCAGTCTAATGCATCTGTAGGCCTACTCATTTGTAAATTAAGAACTGTGGAATTACTATACAGGTACTCAAATTAGGCTTAAGTTCTTTATACAGAAGTAACCAACATACAGTACTGTACTGTACATTATTTTCACTACTGTATATGTATATCCACAATATATTGTCCATTAAATACATGTTAAATGCAACTTCTCTGTATATTGCATTTAAAATGTACCTTTGAGCAAGATTCAGAATAAATGTTGTACACTAATTGACAGGGCCTTAGTTGTCATTGAGAAGGTTATGAAGAAAGCACAGTTGACAATTCTTTGTCTTGCACTAAACAAACATTGTACAGCTAGGAGTGACTATTGCTCAATTTTTCTACAATTCCTCATTTTCCTTTTATGTTGTAAGTCTTTATAATAGGCCTGCAATTATTATTTTCATATTACTCTCATATATGTTAGGCTGATGTGTGTTCAGTTAAGAAATGGATCTTTGATAAATTATCTTTAAACTATTTTCAACAAATTTAGTGAAAAATTTGCTTTTATTGGGCTGAATGTAAAAAATGAAAATGCTTTATAAAAGGACTGCCCAGTAGGTCTACAGTAGTACTGTATATATTAATTACATTCCATTTATCTACTTTGCAAAGTAGACACAATTTTAAGACCATCACAAGATTTAATTTTACAATAAATCTAAGCACACTTCTGCTTAGATATCCTGACTGACAAAGATGCAAGATAATTTTCTTTAAGAAGTCATCTGTATAAGATGACCTAAGACTTTAGTGGACTGTATAGCCTTCTGTATTGTAAACCCAAGAGCAGATTCTTGAGAGAGATCCAGTACAGAACAGTATAATACTGTACTATCATTTATTCTCGCCATAACATGGAGAGTTTCTAAGCATAACAAAAAGTACATTTTATGTAGAAACTGTATGCAAAGAATTGCAAAATTTTGAGAACGCCAAGACCATAACAGTTATAGTTGTGCAGCCAATAATATGTTAAGTATGGTTATCTTTTGAGTCTGCAGCATATCTATGTAGTATTATAGTAAAACTACACTAGTGAAGTGACAAGACTAAGTAACACTGTACTGTATGAGTGACATAACTGCCATCCACAAACCCAACTCTCCAACATGTACAATAACTTATAGGAATTACAGTGCTTTTAAAATGTTTTCCTCAATGCAAATTTTAATATTGTACAGTACAGTACCTTTCAGTAAATGCAAAATTAACTATGTATGTAAATATTTCAGGCGTTGGTAGCCAGTGGGCCTCGTGAAATACAGTTCAGGGATGGAAAAGTGAACAAGTACAGTATTAGTCATAAATCTCTGAGACAGTATAGTACTTTGTTGGTATGATAACTGGATCTAAACAAGTGCCATTCTTAGTGAGGGAATACAAAGCACAAACTATATAATACACAGTTCACGAATCTAGTAACTGCAAAGCCACACTGAACATGAACAGGTTGTCATTACCTGTCATTACATTAATATTACAAAGTGTTCTAGATTTATCTGCTAGCTACTACAGTACATATAACTAATGTAGTGATCTAGTCATGACCAAGAAACCACTAGCATGACATTTCCCCATTTTATCTGACAACATTTTAAAGTGAAATACAGTACTGTACTGTATAATGATTCTTGCTCATTTACAGAACAGTTGTGTAAATACAATTTGGAAGTTTGATTGACCTTAAATGCAACTCGAGGATACTTTGTTGACAATTCCAGAACAAAATTTGTCTTTGAACTACAAAACAAGGTTGTGTAGTCTAGCCTACAGATTACAGTGCATTATTTTTATGAAAATATTGTGTAATTACTGCTGTTACATTGTTGTTACTATTATTATTATCTGCCCAATTATTACATAAGGACTTACCAATGTAAACCCAGGATTAAGGTGTAGTACAGATCATTTTCACTTGAAGTTTAGTTAAAAATGTCTTGTTTTAAATTGCCATTATTTAGGACTTCATTCTGAAGTTAATATTACTAACCTAAATAAAAATAAGGAAATTACTTACCATATTTTCTCTACGAATCTTGTCGTCTTCTCTCTTTCTATTAACAGTAGAATTTGCAGGTTTGTGGACGGGCCGACTATTGTGGTTGGAGGAACTCTGGTGTTTACTCCGGCTGTGTGCACTCATTATCTTCTGAAGCAGGATCTGGTTTTCACGATCTATCCGTCGCACTTCATCATTTGTGAACGACATGTTCTTCCTCCTGTAATGGTGCATCGTTCTGCGAAGATGACGATGGTGAGGACTGGCATCAATGGGGTGTATTGTGATGGGGGGTGTTGGTTGAAGGTGGTTATCATGGTGGTACACATTTTGATGAAGATTGCAATCATTATTGGTTCTGTTATTGACTTGTCTGTGCTGCTTCTTCTCCAGCTCCACAACTGCCTTGAGCAAGAGTGTCATGTCCGTGGAATCATCACTGTTGCTGAAGCCATTGCAGTGAGGCTGAGAGTCATAACCCTGGTCATTGGAAGAGTGCTCGTGATGGTAATCAAAACTCAAATCCCTGTTGTCGTGTAGAGCCAGCGGCGAGGTGCCCAAGGTACGTCTGGGCAGGACAGGAGAGAGACCCAACGGGCTGGCAGTGGCTGATATTAATGGGGAAACATCCGTAATGTCGCTCTCACTGTCACTGTCGTCGTAATCGCTGCTGTCACTGCTCTCAGTTTCAGAAGACAGGTTAGAATTTTCGCCATCCATGTACACCAAAGTTCCTCTCTCTATGAGTCTATCCACCTGAGATTTAGGATCGTCGTCGTCACTGCTATCACTGTGATCGCCATCAGTGTCGCTCAGGTCACTCTCCTCCCACTCGTCAGAGCTGTAGGGGTTGGGGTCTACGTGTTCCATGACTGCACTGGCTCCTTGTGCCTCAAGAGAACTCGCACTACCAACCTTCCCTGGCGTGTTTGAACCACTACTGACACTTGCACCACTATCCTCGTCCCTCGGCACCTCCTCTGATCCCTGATGACCTTCTACGGGGCTCCTCCTACCGGGCTCTAGCCCACCAGAAGAAGTGTCCTCCACACAACGGTACCGGGAGTCCACTAAACACCTCGCACCAAGTGGAGAGGAAGAACCGATCACAGAATTGTACGCCGAGCCATTAACAACTGTACCGCCTTTAGTCCTTTCAACATCATCATCATCATCATAAAAACACAAGTCCACTTCACTTCGTATGTCAGGTTCGTACTGTGTGCCGTTCACTCCTATTTTGTGAGCCATCCTGCCCCGTACACGGGTATTATAAGAGTCCCTTGCTAGCCATCCGTCTGCCAACCTTCCCCGTCCCGCTGCCATTGACTACAGCAGGTCTGCCAACATCATCCGTGACGTCACTGCCATCCACCATCTCATCTCAACCAACCCTCGTCCAAAATTACTTCAAAACTACATCAGTCATAACCCTTCGGAGCACATGTGTTCGCTTAAAAAGAAACCATAATAATGATCGCTTTTGGCATGATACTTTCGGAAGAGGAATTGAGGGAGGTGCTGTAGTGGTGGCAGCGCCGGAGTGACGTCAGGAGCGCGTCACGCGGGGGAGGAGCTTGCGTGAATCATGTGTGAAGCAACTGACACGACTCCACGCAAGGTCCATTTTCCCAAGAACACGCTTCAGAGACGGTTTTCCTGTAAGTGGGGCCCTTTCTTATCCATCTGATAACATGTAGCTCCGTCCCAGAATCCGTCCAGTGAAGAAACGGAATTTTTGGGGTCTAGTGCGTTGATTGGAGTGATGTTTACTTGAAAAATTGTTACCTGAGGGTCACCAATTCTAGAGGCCTGCATTCTTTACAATGTACATTTCACAGTAGATTAATCAAGTCTTTATATAATAATCAAATTGTACAGCATATGCATGGCAAACTGGGTTTTCTTTCATTTTGAAACAAAATGCGAGTTTGTTCCACGGGTTGTTGACCCAAATATATGAGCGGTACTTCCCACCGGTACTCAACAGACCCATATACACACTCAGGTCAATATATGCGGCGATATCTATAATCCGACTATAATCTGGTCACAGTGGAAACATTACTTGAGAGGGTAAGTGGGAAACATTACTTGAGAGTAATAGCTGGCTTAACACTATTTTTTACACTAATGGTGGTCTATGTTTCCCAACCTGAATGTTTTAGTATAACAAATATCATAGTTTAATGTCATGGCTATGGAGTATAGAGATCATTGTGAATAACTTTGGTATAAACGCACATTGGCACCCTATACAATTTGTTGAAATTGCAGAATCAAAAGATTTAAAAGTAGACGAGGTACAACTCATAAACATTCCAGATTTTCTTTCCTTCTTGGAGTGGGCTGCATGATGTCCTCCCACACTTCAGTATAGTACACACGTGTCTGGGGCAATTCTTAGTAATCGACCTTTAAAGCTCCCATCGTGGTGCTTCACAAGTACCAGAAGCAATGGAAAAGATAGGCTACAGTTTACAGTTAATTACTTGGGTTGACAGTATTTAGATATTCGGTTGACAAATGATATTAAAGCATAAAATCGTTCAAACTTAAGAAAGAACAGGTTGTAATTGGTTACAAGGTATCTAAGCACTACATTGATGACAATTAAGATACAGCGTATTAGAATTAATTGCTAGGTTTTCACATCATAAAATATGCGAATTTACATTTCTTAGGCCGACAAACACTAAATCATTAAAGCTTATGAAATTCTTAGGTCTATAGGAAAATGAGTAGCCATCGGATATTGCTAAAAACATAAGTAGAATATATATATAGTATGTATATGTAACTAGCAAGTAATGTAATATTAATATTTAAAGCATATTTTAAAGAAGAAGAATATTGTGTGTATATGTAACTGTCAAACTGTAGTTTTAGCAATATGTATACTTTAAATTTTATCACAAATAAAAAATACAAAGTATACAGACCTTTTATACCCTATAAAGTATGTCAAATTGATGTAAGGCACATAATACTAATAACTAATACATTCTGGTTTAACGTTATCGTAAATTCCTAAATTAAACGTATAGATTGCATCGTAGTCGCTTAAGTTATTCTGACTATCTGCATGTAAATGGGAACACTTATAGTAGTATAGTAGATGATGGACAGATACAAGCATGGTAGCCTTGTACCTCTTTAGATTCTAGCAGCTGGAACAAAGGCTCACTTTCGATAACGTTTCATTTTGTCTTATGACAGTGATGTCTTATATTGTGTCTTCCGGCAGTGATATCTTTTATATTGACTTGCGGTAGTGGTATCTTTTATATTGACTTACGGTAGTGATGTCTTTTATTTTGACTTGGGTAGTGATGTCTTTTATATTGATGTATGGCAATAGCCGTATAATCACAAATCATCTTGCGAAATTAGTCAGGTCCCCCAAACTCTAACAAAATAATATACATTTTCTCTCTTACAGACAGGAGCTGATTCGTATGGACCAATACCTTCTGCTGTTGCCTCTATTCTTATGCCACGCCCAAAACTATACAGAACTTATATAGGTTTTAAAAGTGTCTCCCATGATAGAAGGTTCTGCGTTGTTTTCATGCCTTTTCATGACAGTTATTACTGATGTAATGATATACAAGCTGATTAGGAGTTAGTCTAGTGGATAGAGGACAGCCAAGAGAGATCACGCGGTGAGTGGATGACTGCACCACCTTAACCCAGTGTATATAACGCCACCGGCTGGCTGCTGGACACCCTCGCACACTACTACTACCATCTCCATGGCAACACCGAGATAATGGATACGGGGGACATTAAGATAATATTTTACAGTGCTGCATTAATAACATCTTGGTTGCGGGAGAGGTTATATGCAACATCACAAGTGTTGCAAAAACCTTTACCACTTGTAACATTATATTGATGTAATGAATTGCGATTGCATTACACTAATATGACTGTGGTTTCTAAATCCCTTTACGGACATTAGACGAGACACGTTAATGTATTGATCAGTCGTAATTAAGCTCCCCTGAGATACTAACCACTAATATAATCTAGGCTATCCCATGGGGCAGCTTCCTAACACTGCTTGCTTGATTGTGGAAGTGGGTCACAATATCGTGTTTATTGCTTAAAAAACCAGTAAGATAACATGTTAGGTAGAACACTAAATATTTTATTTGCGATTCCGAATACTGTAAGTTGTTTCTGACAGCTTTGCTAACTTTGTGACCAGGAACTCCTGTTGGTCAGTAAGCTATTAAGGTCGCCTTCAGATGTTGTAGGGCTTATTAACCTTCTTGAAGTTGTAAGCCTTTATAACCCTCTTGCGGCTGTAGACCTGAACCTAACACCAAACTTGCTGGTTGGCCTGTAGGGTAATGTAGCATTAATAACCATCTTGGAGTTGTAGGCCTTAAAAGCCTAACCGCAAATTAAAATACTGTAAAGGGCCGTCGGACTTTAAAAAAATATTTATTTGATAATTATTTACTATAAAATGTGCGTAACTTATTATGTGACTTAAATACGCCTGACAGTCTTCGAAGTTATACCTTAAGACGGTTTCATTAATTTATCGCTTCGAATAATAATCTTCAAATAATCATTTGAAAGAATAATCGCTTCACTTTCCACATTTCCGCATTATTTTTTGTTGTAAATTCCAGGCAATCTTGACTCCCAGATACTCTTCACAAGTGCACTAAACAATTTCTGTATTGTTAACTGATATTTGGCACCTATGGTATTATTTCCTAAGGCTTATTAAAACCCTTCACCTGTCTGCAGTGAGTTGACTTGTAAAACGTTCAATTACATATTCAAACATGTTTACATTTCCCTGTAGCGTTCACGAGGCTCCGTGATGAATTACTAACATTCTTAATAATTCGAATGTTATTGTCATCGGCATGTTTACCAATTGATGTTTACACTTTAAGAAGCACAGAATATTAACTTTGGCCAGATAAACACAATGTATTATAGAACATTAGCAGATAAATGATCAAACTGTCAATATTCTTACAAAACATTTCGATACATCTCTGTAATGTATATTTGGGAGAAAAGATCTCAATTTATATTATCCTTATTCTTACTTCCTAAACGTCCTTATCCATGCTTCCTCATCATCATTATTCACACTTCCTCAACATCATTATACATGCTTCATGAACATCATTATCTACACTTAATCGACATCCTTATCCATACTTCCTCAATATCATTATCCATACTTCAATATAATTATCCATACTTCCTCAACATCATTATCCATACTTCTTCAACATCATTATCCATACTTCCTCAGCATCATTATCCATACTTCCCCAACATTATTAGCCATACTTTCTCAACATCATTATCCTTACATCCTCAACATCATTATCTATACTTCTTCGGCATCATTATATTTACTGCCTCAACATCATTATTCATACTTCCTCAGGATCCTTATCCATACTTCAATTTCTTTATCCATACTTTATCAACATTCTTATCCGTGTTTCCTCAACATCTTTATACATGCTTTATCAATATCCTTATCCATGCTTCTTCAACATCCTTATACATGCTTCATCAACATCCTTAACCATTTTTCCTCACCATCATTATCCACACTTTCTTCATATTCTAATGCACACTGCCTCAACATCCCATAGTAATACTTCTTCAAGTTCAAATGAGTTAATTGCGACAATAAGATACATCTCAAAAGGACAGAGTAGCTTAGGCTATTTCTGACCTCCGAAATACTTTTTATACAACTAGAACATCAGAGTTTCTGTGAGTGATCATGTGGGTCGCTCGAAATTCTTTCAGTCCTTGAGCTACACAACAACAACTGCTTTTTAGTACAATGAAACTGAATTAATTTCAAATGAAATTGTTGGAATGTTTCAGTTAAGAGTGTACTTCCATTGCTCGACTCGCATTTAATAACGACAGAACAAGTGGAGTTCAATTATAGGACTGAATGAGTATTGAGCGTTCCTGATATTGTTGCTCTTCATAGTTCTATAATCTGGGCCAGGGTTGCTGGTGGTGTTGTTCACGGCTGTGTAATATGGACCAGAGTTGCTGATCACGGCTGTGTAATATGGACCAGGGTTACTGATCACGGCTGTGTAATATGGACCAGGGTTACTGATCACGGCTGTGTAATATGAACCAGGGTTGCTGATCACGGCTGTGTAATATGAACCAGAGTTGCTGATCACGGCTGTGTAATATGGACTAGAGTTGCTGATCACGGCTGTGTAATATGGACCAGAGTTGCTGATCACGGCTGTGTAATATGGACCAGAGTTGCTGATCACGGCTGTGTAATATGGACCAGGGTTACTGATCACGGCTGTGTAATATGGACCAGAGTTGCTGATCACGGCTGTGTAATATGGACCAGGGTTACTGATCACGGCTGTGTAATATGGACCAGGGTTACTGGTCACGGCTGTGTAATATGGACCAGGG